TTTGTGAACCACACGTGTCACGAGAGTTTCTCTGTCGAACGGGGCAAATCTCACAGCTGGCAGGGATGTTTGCAAATGGTGATCATGTGATTGTGGGATGCTTGGCAACCAGTCATAAGTGGGTTGTATAGGGGCACTGTGCTGAAAACTGTCGCAGTGCATCAGAAACAAAATTAGGATAAATTTGAGCCTGGTCACAATTTAGAATTGACTGTAAGTGGGAATGACTGAAGACAAAGATCTTAAAAATGGTCATCTGAGCAAGTTTCTTATGGCAAATTAATCACTTCCATCCTGTAGACCATTTATACTTCATAAACACTATGCTATCTGTTTATCTGTTATTCATAAACATTCCTATTTGTTCCATACTTATGAACTGTCTTATGTCACATGTTGTAATCTAAAAAATAATATATCACCCTCTCCAATGTTATAGTTTAGATGGCTTACAATACAGTCTAGGCCCATATCAACATTTTCCCCCTAATGCTTGTAAAATTAAAATTAAAACAAACAAGTTTCATGAACAAGCATTGGTTCATGAAATCTAGTATTATTCACTTTGACTGGCAGTGAATCTGTTTCCAGAGTTTGAGACAAAATTTTCCTAACATGCCAAAGACACACTGACTGGATTCTCATATGTGTGGTTTCATTGTCCAAAAAGCATCCAGTATTTCTTTCAAGAAATCCTATGACATACTGAAAAGTTCCATATCCGAATATAGCAAGTGCAAAAATTTGGATATCTTTTTAGTCAGTGCTTTATAACACTTCCTTTATTAGTTAAGAGTCTATTTTTGCTTTTTAAATTTTTTCCCACTCTTCCTCGCAAAACTTTTCTAGCTCATGCTTGAGATCTCCCCACAGATATTCAATAATGTTCATGTCTGAGGATTGTGAAAGCAGTTCCAAACCTTTATCTTTCTTGTAAGTAGTTCATGGTTGATTTGGAGATATGTTTTAGATTGTTATCTCTTTTCAGCTTCCATTTTTTCATGATTTTGAACATTATCTTCTAGGATATATTGATGTTTAGTTGAATCTATTCTTCCTTCCACCCATACAATATTTTCTGTGCCATTGGCTGCCACACAACCTCAAAGTATAATAAGAGTTATCCCCAACAAATTAATCTAGAATGCAGGTTGAAGAGTTTTACAGAGATTTATTTCACAAGCTGCTTCCACACATTTAATGAGTATTATGAGCACATAATACGTAAATATGGCCAAAAAAATAGTAAATTTCCCTTCCACCCATGCACATGTCTAATACCACAGAAGCTGTCAAGTCTAATTTTCAATGGACCAGTAACTTTCAACACATTGTTAAAGCACTGGATTCTTCTGTTGGATCAGAAATGAAGTAAAATCTAAGCTGATAACATGTAGAAAAGTCAATGAAATCTTTCAAAACAAAAATCACTTAAAGACTATGAAAGTATAAGACAGCAAATACAGTAAAATGTATTTGAAATCTGAAAAGTATAGCAAGAAGTGTTAAAAATCAAAACACAATATAATAAGCATGATGATTCAGATACAGAGAAATGATTTTTCAAAATCCACTTAGGATCTGCCCTTGAAAGATAAAATGGAAATACAGTAGTTTTTCATAATAGGCTTTTAAGAGTTAGAGGAAACAGCCTAAATTCATATTGGATACTGAGGCTAGAGCTTTTGTCCGTAACATGGATTCTAGTACTGGTTTTAGTTACAGACCACATTTCGATTGACATTTTTCCTTTAGTGATAATGTCAGTGTAGGAGAAAACTATACCAGACTGTGGGGTTTATTTTGCTGAGAACACAGGTCAGTAAACTTGATGTTTGTGACAAAACCACAGAATTTTCAAACAGCCACGTAAACTTTTGTTTTCATAATTAATACATCTTTTGTGTGTATTTTTATGAAAGAATTTTTGACTATTTTTTCTGTAGAAAGGCAGTTAATAAATTCAAATTATAACTCTATAGTTTTTCCAAACTGGAAAATATAAAAAGTAAAAAAACCCATGTGTATGTGGAGTTAAATGTTTTAAGTATTAGAAAGATATTTGCTTTATACCTATGCTTAATTAGAAAATGGCAGAGAGAAATTGAGGTAGATATGAAGTATGGAAGGCCTTCAAAAATAATCAGAATTATTCAGAAGAGGGCTTATAATAAGTAAATAGTGTGTGAAATAAATCTCCTAATAAGACTAGATTTAATCTAAACCTGTTACAGAGGAATAGGAAGTATCCAAGGTCTGAAAATAGATTTTTTAAAAGAACTTTTAAGAACGTTGCAGTTGTGACCAGATAATCATGGATAAACTAATGAAACAAATCTCAGGCATATAGAATTCATTTAGCACAAAGGACATATGCTACATATATGCAATAATTAAATATGACTTGCATTTATATAAACATGGGTAAACTGGAATAGCTCACTTCTATGCTGCCAGTTTTTGAAAATGTAATACTGTTTATAAAATGGTAACTAATTAAACGTTTTATAGAATAAATGCATGACACCATACACTTTTGTGTGCTACAGTCTACATCAGAATACAGTTTGTAAAGTGCTTAAATATTCTTTGCAGTTTGGGCTGCAATGAACTGAGTTAAGCTTTTGAGAATCAATTAATTATAATTTCACACAGAAATGCTCCTCTTAACTATGCATTTAAGTCTCTTAATGAAACTCAAGATAGATATTATGAAAGCTTCCACAATTTATATATGAAAGGTTCCATAGTAATAAAGGCTATTTGTTAGTACGGCATATTGCTATAATAATTTCTGTTGTTAAAAATATATTAATAAGTGCCATGTGACCCTCATGAGACAGCAGAGAATAAATTCACATATGTGGGAAATGTATCTTGTCCAGGGTATTTGTCCACTCAGCCCAGAGCTGTCATTGATAGCTCTCTAGTTAAAAGCTGTCTCTGATCACCTATTACCTGAGATCCTTCTGGCCAAATATATCAGGAACTGGAATGTTTTGCCTTTACAGTAGGTTCTGTAACAGTTACGATGCCTCCCCAAGTCTTCATATGACTAGGAAAGATGATACTTGAAATCAAACTACTGTAGGCAGAAAATAAATGATACTCAATATACTTTTTTCATCTTGTGGTTTGGTTAACATTTTGTTAGATGTTTTTGTTAGAAGATGCAGTCAAGGAGCAATAGCAATTCACCTAGCTATGGCAGAAAATGCAAAATAATGTTTAATATTAGAGGTTCCAAAGGGCCATTTGCATGGTCAGTTATGCAAACGTTACACATGTATATGTTTTGTACAGTTTCCTTTGTGAATTTCCATTTTAAATTAATCATGTAAGTACAAGCCCCTGGCATATCTGTTTGGAGTATACCATGATGTTTGAAGCTGTTCATAGAGTACAAAAGTAAAGATGAATAGAAATGAACAGGACTGTAAGATTGCTGTAGAAACGCATATATTTTGTTAACACATTGTGATGTTTTTTGTAAATTAAGTTTTGGAAAATTCAAATCTGTACATTGATAATAAAAGCCAGCTGTGAACAGCACTATTTGGCTGGAAACAAAGGCAATCATTTCCATCTCTTCCCTGAAGTAATATATTTTAATTAAATTAATGCACATATTTTATCATGATTTTTAATTTTGTCTAAAAAATAAACAAGAAATTAAGATGAGGCAGGCTATACAATCAAGCTTCGGTTTCCTATCAGATATCTTGCAAAGATGAAAAAACCATGATGCTGCCAAGATTCCTGGGATCTAAAGAATATTAGAACTCATATTTCTAAAATAATATACAAAACATGTATTTTCTGAAATGCAAAAATCATAATATTGTAACATACAGATGGCTTTTAAATACATAGTGTATAAAAATAAATGGCTTTCTAAAAATAAATGTGCTTAAAAGTTTTAATATGTTTATCTTTTCTTAGAGGCACAGATCCATATAGGCAGACTATCATTTTCAAAGAGCAGAGACAATTTTTAAGTGCATTATCAATTTTCATCAGAGTGGTAATCTCTCTGGCATGCAGCATAACAGGCTACTTTAATAGCAGAAAGGAAATCACTGTAATGAACAGTTTCCCCAAAGAGTAGTGCATGTGTCTATCAGACTATTAAGTCAGTTTTAAATAGTACCAATAAATAGATAACTGGCTGAAACTTGAACCCCCCATTTCCACTACTGTAATGAATTGTCAGAAGTTTTACAATTGTAGTAAGTTACTTAAAGTGCCTTTGCAACAGAGACAGTACATAAATCAAATGCAAAACAAAATGTGATTGACATTTTCTTTGGATATCTTACTGAATAATCAGAATATTTGTTAACTCGTGCTGAAAAAGCAAATGCTGCACTTCTCTTTCAGTTGATAAATAATCTTTAATGAACAGAATGCAAAAAAGGTAGGCAATTCCGGGTATGACATTAACAAAAAAAATACAGTTTAAGGCAGTACAGCCTTAATCATGGATAACAATATAGCTGTAGCCATGGATAACAAATATGGATAATGAAACCCTGAGAAAACATACTTTATGCTTGTGCAAAAACCCATCCATTTTGCACATATGTAAAAAACACACTCCAGTAGTCCTTCAAACAGAACCATGGGCCCAAGCCATGGATACATGAAGCCCTTTACCATAGATAATGAGATCTGATCTACATTTACAAATGGCAGATGTGTGAAACTGCAGGTAATGGAACCATGAATAATAAGTGTCACCTATATGAAGTTTTAATGTCCATATAATGATACGTTTACTGGGCATTAAAATAGCATGAATTTTTGTGGATGTTTAAATGGACATTTTAGCTATGTAATAAATAATTACATTTAAAAAGGATAAAGAGGGATGAAAAGGATTACATATTATTTGTAATAGCGAATATTTACATTGTTTACTACCTGCAGGTTATTAGAGACTGTTCTATTTATGGAGGCTATGTGGAATTTTGCCTATATGTCTCAGTAGGCATCCCTCATACTGATCTTCATTTAAATAGCCATTCTTTCATGCTATGTTGGCTTAACAGTCAAGTTCTATATAGAATGAAAGGAATTAGTATGGTAATTTCACTGTTAAATTTTCCCTGTTACCATTCATAGCCCTCAAACCTATGAATCTGGGCCCACCTACTCTTCTGTGAGCATGGTATGCGCTCTTGGGAAGGCTGACTACCCGTACATTAAGATTACTGAAAAAAATGAAAGGACAGAAGATTTAGTAAAATTTTAAAAAGTATAAATAGATAAGTTATACATTTAAAAAATACTTTATGCAAACAATTTCCACAAGTTTGATAACTGTTTTGTTTTTAATTTTCTATCCCAACAAATTAATAAAATACAGTGCAGTAATCAGTGATGCAACAACATTCGTTTAAGTCTGAAGCCTGACAAACTTAAAAGAGTACCACAAAGAGGAAGAAAGCTCCTTGACATATTTTATTTATTTAGAAATTTATAAGGCCACCCAACTCTTCAACAAGTACATTGCAATAGAGTTAAATCCAAAATCTGGCTGTCATGTTTATTTAATTAATATTGCTACCACCATGCAAGGATCTTTCAGAACATATTTTTTTACTCAGCAGGTATGCTTTAACTGGCAATACCAGCTCTGTCTTGGACACTGCAGTGGTTACATGCAGCATTGTGAGGAAGTCAGACTGAAGGTTTGAAAGAATGCACTATTGTATATTCCAGTAGATGCCCTTTGAATTCTAATTTTCCAGTAGTTTTTCTTCAGTCATGAGACTATACAGACTGACTGTTTGTTTTTCCTCCCTGGGAGAGAACTTGGACTCATTTTACCTGTAGTAGAAAATATACACATAAAGTTTCTAAAAATATATATATACAACATGTTTAAAAAGAACACTGATATTTTGCTATCCTAAGTCATGTAGACAAGATTCTCACTTTTTGTTTCTGCACATGATACTCCCTACACAGTAAGAAGAGCAAACTTTAGAAACACTTTCACTACTGAGCATCTTTTTCCCAGCTATTCCTAATTTGTAAATTAACACAAATTTAAAATCTTTAAAATATCACTAGAACTGTAAGTACCTTTGAGGCACTCTTTAATGAATAAAAGTTTTATAGACAGACTATATAATTCTCTGCTTCTGAAGTGTTATTTTAAAATAAGTTTAAGCATTAGACCAAACTTTTTCAATCTGATGTCTCTCAACACAATGGATACCTATTCTCTCTTGCTGGACATCCTGGGTATGCTAGCTGAACAAACATAGGAAAGGTAGCAGCAGCCCACCCACAAAGTTCCACCTAAGATCACCCCAGGCTGTTCCTTTCCTCTTGAGCTGTTGCCCCAGCAACAGTGATGCTTGCTTATTGCTGCCAACAATTTTGCCTAATTATTCCCTACAAGTAAGTCACAGGCATTGGTCCTGGGAAAGGCCCCCAACTGAGCAAGCAGGAAGAGAGGCAGCGAAGCCTGAGCCACACTTTCAGCAAGCTATTCATGTGACACTAGTGCCACTACTGCTGCATTGCAGCATTTGTTCAAAAAGACTGTAAGCAGATTTATTTATTTCTTTATAATGTAGATTTGTAAGGCTGCCCAATTCAGCAATGACTGGGAACTGTGTAAGTAAAAACAACCACCATATCCGAAACCGAAACAAAAAGCAAATGAACACAATTTGGGGAACAAACATACCATAAAAAAATGTCATAATACAATCTGGGTGGACACAGGCTATCCCAGAGCTTGAGGAAAAAGCCAAGTATACAAGACTTATTTAAAGGGTTGCAAGGGTCGTTTAAAGGATGGCACAGTCAGAGGGCAGAACGTGTGGGGGATGCAGAGGGCAGGCACTGCAACAGAGAAGGCACACTTCTTTGGTCCCATCAGATGGCATTGCTTAATGGATGGGATATGACGTGCACACCCTCTGTCAGATTTTGTAGGACAGGCAGAAATGATGGGAGTGAGGTGGCCACTCAGTTAACCAGGCCCTATGCCATAAGGAGAGTTATAGGTGATAACTAGCACCTTGAATTGCACAGAGATATCCAGTGCAGCTTGCATAGCAGAGGTATTACATGGCCATACCAAACTGTACCCACAACTGCTTGTGCTGCTACATTCTAGACCACCTGTAGCTTTCAAGTGGTCTCCATGATCAGCCCTATGTATAGCCCACTACAGTAGTCCACATGCAAGATGACTATGGTATGAGTGACCATAAGAAGAGACTCCCAGTCTAGGAAAGTTCACACCAGATGAATCTATGCAAAGGCCGTCCTCACTACAGCTGCCTTGTGGAGTGATACAGTAAGGTAACAGAGAACAGAACTATGTGTAGTTCAAATTAGTCTACATTCTCGGTATAGAACAGTAGTCTGTTGTCAGTACTTAAGTAAGATTAAATTGCCAGTTGAATAGGTTTTTGCACATCTAAGGAAGAATTGTATTCTCTTGGTCACTTAAAGTAGCAAATTGGGCCAGCCCTTTTAACAAGCTTATTTTTATATTTCAGAGTTAACTAGGTAAATGCATAGAACAGAATCCTTTAAAAAACTAGTCTTGGAAAGAGAAAAGTAGAGTAGACAAGGCAGATGCTTAGTGTTTTCCTTGTTTGCCATTTTCACACTCCAAATAGTAAACCCTTAAATTATTCTGCATCCCCTCTGCAATTTATATTGTTACCCACTTAGCATATCCATATCATAGTTCAATATTAAACAAGCATAATGGCTGAATCACCTCCCTGGGATGTCCAGTTAAAAGGACCTGTTAATGGAGAACATCTTAGCTGAGCCCTGCACAGCTTCTGTCAGTTACAATAGAACAAACACTGGCAATCTGGTGATATTCAAATGTTTTCAGTTTCAGCTTCCCTCATCAGCTTGGACATACAGTAAGCAAAAGATTGTAGTATTTGTAGAATAACTATAGCAAATAACAGCAGGCTAGATAGATCAACTTTCCCCAACTAATGGCCATACTGACTATCAAGGCAAGCTCAGACTCAGATGAGCAGCCTGCTCCAGAGTTAATAGATGAACCACTGCCTGAGGACCTGCAGGCAGTTGAGGTGGGACTGTCTGGTAATCAACAAGAGCAGTTGCCATTGGTCTGCAAAGATGAGGAGTCTGAGCTGCTGCTTGCACCCAGCACAAGGGCTCACCATGCAGAGAACAGAAAAGAGCAAAGGCACTCTGTAAGGTTCCTTGAAGAAAAAAAAAGCTGTACCCCGCCCCCCATGAGCAACACCAGCACTGGTTCTATTTAAGTAGAGCAGTAAACCCAAGCCTCTCCATTGGAAACAGGTGTTTGCTAATCCAGACTCTGTGTGCCTCAAATACTAACTCTTGAATCCTGTGATTTTGACTTTGGATCCTGGACCAGCCAACAAACTTTCTGTGATGCTTTGACCCTTGGACCTTACTCTAACTAATCTTTTGCCTGCTGCTTTGGATTTGGAAATGACAAGGAATTATAGGAACTGAAATTCAACACATTTGGGGGGAACTAGATTGGCAAGGATGGATTAAGTAGATATATAAGATAATTTCATCTAAGATACAAATTTAATTACTAACCAAGCAACCTTGTGACCTCTAATAGAAAATGTTCTTTTCACATCTTGTCCTTGAAATTGTAATCAAAGATGAATAAAAAAATATATTGGAGTGTTAGTATTCAGTTGTTAGACCTCTTCATCATAGTCAGACGCCTACAATATTTTCAGCTATTCTGGACAACTAAACTCTGGATGAACTGACATCTTTCATGTTTATATCAACATATTTATTAAGCACCTGAGCTGTTATATAAACTTAATCACTAGGGAGTAGCATTGGGGAAAACTATATATAATGCCAGTTTATGGATTCCTCTTTGAAGTTGACCACTGGTTGCTTTGTGGACGTATCCATCTACTTTTTCTGGCAACAATCTGGAAATAATCTGGCACTGATTTTTTCCAGGATGTTTTTCTGCTTCCCAGTCTAGTCCTAGTATTTCCTGAAAGTTTCCAACCAAGCACCAACTAGACATAACCCTGGTTCAGCTCCTGAGCTTAGACAAGGTTGGACTACATACATATAAAAAGCAATGAGAAGATGCTTTAGAAAGCAGCATTGCTTATATCAAATACAAATGTGTCAGGAAAGTAGGTGGACATAGGGACATAGCTCCTGTTATTTTCTAATTCTATCACTAGGGGCTGCTGCATGCCCTCTCGTCAATGTAACAAAATACATTTACTTAAATCTGTGCAGCTTGTGCTATAAAGATTTCAAGCAAGATAGGCTATCCGTCTCCAAAAGGGGCCTTAACAGCAATAAACTGAAATATAAACTCTGCAACTCACTTAAGTTTTAATAATATTTTCCATCCAAGAATAAACTGAAATGTAAAGGGAACTTTAACCCCTTGCCTGCTTTTCCTGGGATTTGAATCTGCTACCTCCCGTATACAACCTTGTAATTTTTATTATCAGAAAATTATTCTTGACTTTTTCATCACTCATATTTTGCAAAGTAGACTACAGGTATGTTTACTTCAAGGTGATCATATCTACGCTGTCATTTATTACAAAGCTCTATCAGCCAAGATAAGTACAAAAAAACTTTAAGAATGAAAGAAATAGAAGGTCATTGAGTGCATTATGACCATATAAATTTATCTTTATTTAATAGTGCCATATCTGAGTTCAGAATCATTTATTTAACATTTGTATTTAGTTTTGCCTGAGGCAACTTTTATGTACAAAAGATCCTTTTGTTGTTGCTGCTGTTAAGCAACTAGAAGTCACAAACCCTTGTGAATGTGTTTTTTTGGCCCACCCTTGTTGAAAAACTATACTACTAATTGTTAACAAGGGAGAAGGAGAAAATATTTCATGAAGAATAAAGTATCAATGGCTATTACTCATGATAATTACGTACTACCTTCCACAGTGGGGGCAAAATGTCTCTGAATACCAGTAACTAGAATACAGAAGAAGAGTGTTATTGTGCTCATATTCTGCTGAAGGGTTGCTACAGACATGAGATCAGCTAAACAGCTTCTTTTTGTAGCCCTAGAATTTAAATGCTGTGAGGGTTCCATAGGCTATTTCAAAGGTTTTTGCAAAAGTTAATATATTACTAACTAGCTACTAGCTCATTTGTGGTTTAATTGATTTTTTTTCCTCCCAAGTCCCTTGCACAAATTCCTTGACTGTTAGGAAGGAAATTATCTCATTTGTATTGGATTGTGGAAAACTAAAGAGACAACAGGGATCTGTTCCAGTATTCTTTTTATCTTCTTCAAGCCACTATACAAAATAGAACAGCAGAAAGAGGATTTGTTTTCTGCTGGAGTCCTGTTCCTCATAGGATAAAGTGCATGAGAGATACAGTCTCCCAGGTGTGAACCTGTCTTGATTTATCTTGTTTCTAATCCCATGTAACCCTTTGCCATTAACAATGGATAAAGAAGCCAAAATTCTCTTATTCACACTTTCAGTTGGGTGTGAGAAAGCAGAAGAGTTAAATAAGAGAAGATGAATCTATTTAAAATTCAGCTGCAGTACCTCAAGATGCATCCTGAATGCCAGTAACTCCTAAATCTATATCAGCAATTCTAATCTGAGTCCTTTATGCCAGTTTAAGGAAAGATATTGCATACTATATAATTCATATTCACGTAACTCTAGATGACAATCTACTTCCTTCTTGAAACCAAAAGGATGGTTATTCTATTTAGCCTCTGTCCTACTCACCTAAAAACGAAGTTGTTGAATGAGGTCACACATACAGTGCCAGGGTTCCAGAATATACTTTCATACAGCTACCCTCTTCCCATTTTGGATCCATAATGTAGATAAGGATACTCAGCAGCATTCCTGCTACTCAGTAAGATAAATTTAGAAACAGAAAGGATGGGAGAGAGGAAGACAGGAAGGATGGAAATGGTATGCTTTTTCAAAATGAAATCCTGATTGTGTGACATGCATTCATTGGTAGAAACAAAACAAGTGAGAATATTTTCTAGGAAGATTTACCTGAATTGCCTCCAGTACTATGAATACTGGCACGGCACTCCTTTGGTATCTTCACAGCCATCAAGTCTTCAGCAGTCTCACCACTAGCAGAATTGGCATCAGCATTTGAAGGTGGAGGTCGCTTGGCCCTTCTGAAAAATCCACTGCCAAACATCTTATCCTGTTTGGAACTGACCTCCCTATTGGCAACTTCATCCTTCTTAAGATCACAGACAGACTCTCTGGATTTGGATTTATATTTCAGGTCCAAATGGAACTGGGAAAAAAACTTTTGAGGGCTCCTTTCTGCTCTGTTCAAGTCCTCAAATGGAGGTTCGATATCTGGTAGCACCTGCTTGACCATTATAAGGTCATTAAGAAAACTATCTAGTCGTTTATTTGGTTCATTTTCTTCATCTCTTCCTTCTAGTTTCTCTTGTGATTCTTGCCTCTGACGGGAAGCCCAGCGCATCATTTCTCCTGGAGGAATGCCTACCACCAGTCCATATTTTGGGTTGATAACCTTCCGGGCCACAGTAGAGGAAGAAAAACCAAGGTTCCCAATACCATGACGAAAAGGACAGGGAATGTTCAATTCCTTGTAAAGATTGACCTCCTCTGAAATGGCATAAAGCTCTCGGAATTCAGTGTCAAACATTTCAACATGCTGTCCACTCAAGCACAAAAGAATATTTCTGTTTATGTGGGATGAGGTCCATGTGAAACTGTAAAACAGGGAACAAGCTGTTATAGAACCACTATTTTCTAAAACTTTAATTTCTTGCTGTTCAGGAATATGTAACATTTTAATTTGATTTGACTTAATCAAGTACTTAGTAAAAGAAAACTTGTTGATTTTATATTTGTTATCTGAAGAGTCACAGAAAATGTCTCCCAAGACTAGATCTGTGGCATTCAAATTAGTGTATCTAACTTCACTACTAGGAATAATCCAGGAACCTAGCTAGCAAAAAAATAAAAAATAAAAAAAATCCCCTGATATAAGGAAATGCAAAAATGGAATGCCTTTACGTGCCCTCTTCCTTGCCTCCTCCTCCTTTTTTTTTTTTTTATTACACCTATGAAGTCCACATTTTTTCCAAGGGGCTGTCTTGAAGACAGTTAATATAGAATATGACAGCAGGAAGAACGATATGGTGTCTTTACATTTCTGTTATCTTGTGTTCAGTAGTTTATCTCCATTACATTCTGTATCTTGTGATGCCTGCTTGAGTTTTAGTTTCTGTTATTTTTAAACAGCTGTTTAACTATGATTTTAGATTTTGTGTTTTTACTGTGTGTCACCTTCTGTGCTTTTAGCTATGGGTTAATAAATGTATACATCACGTATATACTGCTACTTGTATCTGTTGTGAGGAGGGTCGTAAGTCAATTCTTTTTTTCTTTGCTTTTTCTTTTCCTTTCCTTTTTTCTGCACTTTTGACCTTGACTACTCTTTTTTCCTAATCTTTCTTCTCTTTACTTTCTTTTTTTAATATTAGTTCTTGTTAGTTTTTACTTTTTCTTTTTTAAAATTTAATAAAGTTATTAAAAAAGTAAATGCATACATCACAGATGATGCCCAACCATTTGCAGCATTGGCCCTAGTATACTGCTAGGTGTGATAATAGGTTTTAATCTCTACAGCAAGGATTGACCACCTTTTCAGGCAGCAGGCATCCTTGCTGATCTTGGTTATCTAGAAATTAAAAATAACCAGGATGCATTTGGTGAGATTTCAATGTTATGAGAACACTAAAATCATCTGAAATTTTACTATTTATTAATTCTTTAGTTTTAGAGCACTATAGGAGGCATCTAGGGATACTGAAGTCAGCACGCTACTGTTTTCTGCTCTAAAGTTTGGTTTTGGGTTATCTGAAGTTCAAATAACATCAGCTTATCCCAAATTTGAGATATAGTGTTTTTCACCCTTATGTAGTAAAGATGTGACTGCAAATTTTCAGTTATGTTTTCTAGACTGTGCAGTGTTTAATATTGATTGCTGCTTTCTAGATCTACTTTTTGCTACATACTTGACTTTTGTTTTGATGAAAATGTTTCCCTTTATGTGAATGGGTATATCTGTTTTATTATTTTAATAGATTTTTATGTGTTGTGGCCTGGTATATATTTATCAAATATTCTCTAGAAAAGTTTATGCTCAGTTTAACATACATAGAGAAATCTAACACATCTTTTTACTTTTCTCCTCACAAGAAAGCTTAATATGATAAAATCTACAAATATAGCAAAATATATTAAAACTGTTGATTTTCTTAATGTTTGTCCTGCATGGTTGCATGTGCTCTCTTATTTGAACTGGGTTCAGTTTTTTGAAATTATATCAATTTTCCAGGAACAATGTCAGCAGAGATGTTGGAGCTAGTAGCAAAACATGTGTATTGCAAACATAAGACCCTCCCAAGCACTAGATTGCCTATGGGAAGTCCATAGGGAGGACTTAGGAGCAACAACACCCATATGTATCTGGCCCTACAAATTGATACTGGGAAGAACTCTACTTTTGCAAATGGAAACAATATATAACTATCATAACTTTGATAGCTGTATCATGAAACAAAAAAGCAAAAAGGTTCTAAGTCCATTCTCAAACTATCTGAGAGATCTCAAATAGAATGACTAGGGAAAATCTTGACACAAGGTACACAATCCAGAATCCTACAGATGTTGTTGGATTTCAACTATCCTATCAGCATCAGCCAGGGTGCCAATGATAAAAAATAACAGGAGTTGCAGCCCAAAACTATCTTGAAAACCCAGAAAGGGGGAGGGAAAGTATTGATAAAATACTGTTTTGGACTAAATGGATAATTGATTTTAAATGCTAAAATTTTAGGGGAAAATGGCAAATGCCAAGTTTCTGATGTTTTATGTTTAAAAATCTGGTTTTAAGCTCTGGTTTCCAGAAGGCAAGTCATATGTACCTATAAGATCCAGTTAGGACTTTTTCACCATCCACCATTAAGAAACGAGAGGCCAAATTGCCTTGGATCTTCCCTGATGGCATGTAGAACCCAACTCCAGTCACGCAACGTACACGAATGTTCTGATAGAAAGAAAAGACAAATAGCACACAAAGGGAGGTTATGATCTCTTATGTTAGAGGTAGGCAACCATCTTGGGTTGGGGGCACATTTGGAGTTTTGGGAGAATATGGTGGGTGCACTCACAAGATGACTGCCATGGTAGACAGGGCTATTCACCAAACACCCATCTATCAGAATAATTTTTCCCAGTCTTATTGCTTGACCACTATATCATACTGACTTAGATAGGTTAGGATCAAGAAGGTTGTGTGGAGGTACAAAATTAACCATTCCTGTACTTTTTGAGCAGGATCATAAAATGTCTCTCTAAGGGAGGATGGAATGCCTTTTTACTTAAAGGAGGCAATCATTAGACCTTTTCTTAAGAAGCCTGCTTTGGATTTGCCTAGAAACAAGCAGTTATGGCCAGTACCTAACTAACTATGATTTGGTAAGTTGATTGAGAATAGTGGCTTCTCAACTGCAAGGAGTCCTGGATAAAGAAAGTTATTCTGATCCATTTCAAACTGGCTTAAGGATGGGCTACAAGGGGGATGCCTAGGCCAGCCTAATGAATGATCTGAGAACTGACAGAGGGAGTGTGACTGATTGAGCTTTCAGCTATAATATTCCACTGGATAGATTAGATAATTGGAGTCACAGATTTAACTGGTTCCCTTTCTCTCTCTCAGGTACATATCAGATAGTATCAGAAACTATTCTTCCTTGAAACAGGAGCTATTATATGGTGTCCCTGAGGGCTCTATTCTGCTGGCAGTGTCTTTCAATATCTACACGGAACTAGATGATCAGGAGATTTGAAGCTAAGGGCTATCAGTATGTTGCTATATCCATGTCTCTTTCTCTGTGATATCTTCAGAAAATGGTAATGCTTCCCTGAATGTCTTCAGCAGTCAATCAAGGGCTGGATGAGGGATAATAAATTGAAACTGAATCCACATGAAACCAAGTTGTGAAGAGCAATTAGGCTGGAAAAGTACTAAATCTGCTTGTTCTGAATAAATGTCACCCTCTCATAAAGAGCAGGTTTACAATTTGGGGTATTTCTGGACTTAAATCCCTCTCTTTGGTTTCCCAGATTGAGGCCACAGCCCAAACCATCTTTCAACAGTTTTAATTTATATGCCAATTGCATACTTTTCTGGAAGAAAATGATGTTAAATCTGTGGTGCATGCTAGTACTCTTCAGGCTTGACCATGGTAATGCATTCTACATGGCGCTGAGTTGTTCAGTTGGTAGAAAATTCAGCAGCCAAGTTGATTTTGGAAAAACTGCAACTAGACCATATTATCCCTGTGCTTAAAGCACCACAGTGGCTATCAGTTCATTTCTGGCAAAATCTAAAGTGGTTGCTGCTATCTTCAAAACTCTCCATGGCTTAAATCCAGTCTGTTTGAGAGAATGAATCTTTCTGTATAAAACTCTACACTTACTAAAATAAGCAGAAGAGGTTCATCTACAACTGCTGCAGCTCATGTATTAGCTTTCTAAAAGGCTTTTAAAACATTTTGTATTGGCTTTTAATTATTAAGTAGGCTAAATGGGCAGAGCATAGCTACATGTGAGAGGTTTTTATTTAGTTGTCCATGTCAGACTCTACTAAGGCCTGTGGTTGTATTTCAGAGCTAGTTTGGGTCTGTAGAGTAAAAAGAATGACTAGATGTTGATGAGCTGCTCAATTTCTATTTGCTCCAGCCTCTGAGCCTTGTTTCTGAACAAGCCAAGCTTGAAACATTTAGGATATCTATTTACAAAATGTCCCCCTTCCCCAAAGAATGAATTTTGTAGTTGCTTTGAGAAAAGGGAAGGGTGCATGAGGTCCTAGCAGGGCATTCATATGCAAAGTGTCCTATGCCTAAATTGTGGAGAACTTGTCCACAACTTTTCTCCAGCAGAGCAGTAGAATAATGGTGTCTTTCCTTCTTAATCAGTTTTTTCAGAAATCACCTTATACCCAGGCAGATCTGAATTAATTCAGCGTCCTGATCATTGAGTTCATCTCGTATTTCATCTGCTAGTCCCTGGTCAATGAAACCTCTTTCATTTCAGCTCATATCCTGAACTAAAGCTGAGAGTCAGCAGCATAGTCTTGCATTGCCTATTCTATCAGAAGCAATGGATTTCATGGATGGCAGTCACTTTCTTGACTGGGTCATTGAAGTTAGTCTTTGGGTCTGCCACAGGATTTGCAGAGTGATCCAAGTTGGTGTTCTACATCAAAAGATGGGGTTGTTCATTTTGCAGCTTCCTCTGTCATTGATTGATTATGTACCATCATGGTGTTGTTAACTCTTAACAACCACATAGATAGATTTTCTTCATGACTATCTGTCCTTTACTTAGTCTTTCAGATCTTTCAGTGCACTCATTGCCACTGTAACTGAGTCTATCCACTTTGCTACTGGTCATCCTCTTCTCTTTCCTTCCACCTTTCCCGGCATTAGAGCCTTCTCCAGAAAGTTAGATTTTTGCATAATGTGTGTGAAGTAGGATAATTTGACCCTTGTCATTTGTGGCTCAAGTGATAGCTCTGGGTTGATTTGTTCAATGACCCATTTGTTTGTTTTCTTGGCTGTCCACAGTATTCTCAAGAGTCTTCTCCCATTAGGTCAATTATAAATCCTATCTGGAATTTTCACGGGCTTGGTCAGTGGAAAATCCCCAGGTCTGAGAGATGTGTGGGAGTTAGTTCTCATAAGAAAACAGCCTAGTCAATTACCAGAACAAAAGACAGGTGTTCTCTCTTTCCCAAAACAGGGTGCCTTCAAGCCAGATATACTATACAGGTGAAAGAAAGAGGCATGGAAGGTAAACCTTACTTTCATTATAAACAGGGCTTACTTTTGAGACATTTGAAGCGCTGGTATTCTTTTGTATTGACTTCATTAGCTTTTCTACAACGAATCTACTTATCAGAAGCTCTTATGTCCTTGAATGCTTATTGCACTTGTTTCCAGTCTAACTTGTTAGAGAAGTCTAACAGATGTATTGTTTATTTTGAGCAAGGAAGGTATCAAATTTGCTTGGATTTCTATCACATTTGTCACATAGGAAGGCAGGTACTCAGTATTGGAGAGCTGTACTGGTTGCTGCTGTTCCAGCAATGGTTGTCATGATTAGGTCAGGGTTGGTTGTAGAACAGCAGTTGCTGTCATGATTAGCTCAGGTTTGGCCCTAACAGTTGTACTAGATTCTGTCTTGCTGCTTGGCTAGCTGCTTCATTGTCTGGGATAACCAATCCATCTGAGTCAATATTGGTTTGGTTACGGGCAACTTGAGAATTTGGAGGGGGGGTTGTAAGAGGTGTTGTAACCATAGTAACCATAATCTCCTAGAGTAGACTGTCTTCCTGTAGTGACAGGAGTAACAGCTAGATCTTGCTGTCAAGACTGAGCAGAGCTGAAAATCTTAGTTCTCTAGACACTGGCTACTTACTCAGGAACTGGTTTCTCAACAGAAGGTTCATAGACATGACTCAGCCAGATTAGTTATTTTATTGAAGACTACAGGTAGTCCTCAAATTACAACTGCAATTGGGACCAGGATTGCTGTCACTAAGCACTGCGGTTGTAAAGCATGACGTCATGTGACCGCATTGCTTAGTGATGGCAATCCAGGCAGTCCCGCAGGGGGGTGGGGGAGGCCCTGGGAGGCCTGGTGAAGGCCACGTGCGATGAGGAAGAAGGCCGGGGAATGAGGGCACGGTGTGCATGTGCTTGCAGGGAGGCCAGGTAAAGAGGGTGCGGGGTGCATGTGTGCGAGTGCAGGGAGGCTGAGGAAAGCACGGGGGTGCATGTGTGCAAGCATAGGGAGGCCGAGGAAAGAGGGCGCAGGGTGCGTGTGACTACAGGGAGGCTGTGGAAAGGGGGTTCAGGGTACATGTGTGCGATCTCAGGGTGGCTGTCGAAAGAGGGTGCAGGGTGCATGTGTGCAATCGCAGGAAGGCCAAAGAAAGAGGGCACAGGGTGCATGGAATCATAGGGACGCTGTGGAAAGAGGGCACAGGGTATATGCATGCATGTGTGCAATCGTAGGGAGGCCATGGAAGGAGAGCGTGGGGTGTGTATGAATGAAGGGGGGAAGGAAAGCACCCTCTTTTGCTTGGGGGAAGCCGGCAGGGAAGGTTGCAAATGGTGGTCATGTGATCATGGGGTGCTTGGCAACTGGTCGTGTGAACAGGTTACCAAGCACCCAGATTGTGATCACATGACTGCGGGGGGTGCTAGGATGGCTGCAACTTCGAGGACCAGTTGCACGTCGTCTTTTTCAGCACCATCGTAACTTTAAACAGTTGCTGAATGAATGGTTGTAATTCAAGGACCACTTGCATTATGAAACATATATAATAGAAACGTTGCATGCTGCAGTTCATAGCAATCAAAGTAGATATACATATGTCTGTGTTCCAGGGCTTAAATCCTAGCCTTCTTCCTCCTGTCTTTCTGGAAAAAAAGAGATATTTTGCTCTTCTTTTAGGCCATGGGAAGCCTTAAGCATATTGAGCATGTTGATATAAGATACCTGGATTCTACCTTCATTCCTAATACAAAAGGCAGTGGAGGTAAGAAAGGAGGCACCACACCTCCTGTTTCTCTCCAAGTCTCATGGTGGTTTGAAAAAAGTAGATGAAATACGTTGCAGGTAGATAATTATCTGTAATGGGGGTGGCACTATGTTCTGTTGTAGTTCTAGGGAAAATGCTGGGAACTATGACTGGAATTGGTAAAAGGCATTCACAGATACTGTCTCATCCTAAAAATCTATTAGATTCAGAAGCATGTTATGACCTTTTGCAAACAAGCTGTAAACCTACCCTAAGATTATCAAATCCTCAAGTTCGCACCAATTCTGTTTTATCAGGATTAAAGTTCAGTTTAATCCCTGACCTCTATTACAAAACTACCCCCAAGATAGTTACAACCTCCACTCTCTCCCTGAGTTCTAACTCAGGTAAGTTTCCTCTCACAGGCACCAGCTATCCATCACTTCAAGCCAAAATCTTCCTTCTGAGTAAAATCTTGAACTTGATATACCAGAAATTAAACCTGTGTCTTCTCATTTAAAGCATGTACTCTCTCAACAAACTGTAGGATTTTTCAGCACAGAATTCTATGGATTATAGGAGACTGGGCAAGATGAAGCAGGAGTTTAGAACCAGCAGGTAATGATCAAACAGATCATTTTTAAAGGTTTCTGCTAGTTCTTTCAAGCTCTCCTTAGACAAGATGCCTTAAGACTTTCTGACTATCAGGGTTATTTTGGACTTCTGCATGTGCAAAATTTAAATGTTTTTCTCTGATAAAATGTGACAAAAAAGCAAACTGTTCAAATGATTCTTAACTGTAGCAGCTTTCCTGACTTTTGGCATACATCAAATGCTGTTAACATGAAAGCTGATACAACTGATACTTGAAGGTTATCATATCAAATATTGACATGAAAGAACAATTTGGGTGCCTACAAAACCCACTCTGACATAAAAATGTATCTAATTTCCTTTTTCTAAAAACTAACTTAATGTGATTAACAGGGGAATGAAAGACTGAGAATTCTTACGATCTTTGCAATTAAAATCTCAGGACCACAGCTAAACTTTCATTAACTGTAATCAACTATGAATTCCCACAAATCAATAACATAGTATAATTGCTTTAAGTTCTAGAATTTGAAATAACTTTATGATTTTAAAAGTCCTGATATTTGCCCTATATTTAATACTTGTCTTCACCTTGTGGTTGACCTATAAATAGATTACACACTGAAATATTACAGATCACATTAGTGTCACTATCACAATTTTTTCTTTCTTTTTTTTTTATTTAGTAAAGGAAAAGGACGAGGGGGAGAAACTGAAGAGAAAAATAGGGAGGGCAAAAGAAAGAAATTTGAAAGACAAGGTGAGCAATTTTAAAAAATAGGTGCCACACAATAGATTTGGTTAAAGGTGAATTGTAATTCTAAAAAAAGGTGAAGTCTGCTGTATTTATTTCTATTAAACAATCATATCTGGCCATCACAGTATCTATATAATTTTATGGAAGATTCATACCCTCTGTCAGGACAATAGTTCTTCAGTCTGTCTCAGATAAACACGAACTATGTGGTTCAATTTTAATCGGGTATAAATTATAATAATTATTACACAGTAAATATAATCTTACCCTGATATGGAAATCATTTAGGTCCATGTATTTGCACATCTCCAGGAAGAATGCAGAGCCTTCTTCATCTAAGATTATATAGACTGGGATCCGACGCTTATATGCTGCGTCTACTATATCTCGGAAGATGTCCCTGTCAGTGAACTGGTCCATGACTATTGCAATTATCTGAACATGCACAGGAAGAGAACACACACTTATTTTAAAATGTAATGTTGAAAAAAGGTACTAATGTAGGCATGTCATATCATATATACCCACCACACTTGTGCTATGAGAAACAATTGCTTTAACTTACTACTTCATAGAGCCCATTACTTCATAGCATAAGTCTTCCTGCCTGTAGAGACCAGAAAGCTTGTTAGTTCTTGTTAAGAGTCACCCTGGGGCTTTCATGGAGTGTTCTGTGTTAAATAACATCTAAAGAACACTAAAATAATACATTTCATTCTCTTTGCAATACACACCAGCCCCACCCCATCAGAATGATTTAATATACATCTGGGAAGATCCCTTCCTCCATTCACCAACATATTAATTAGGTACTCATTCATCTAACAACGATTATAATAATTTTTTTAAAATATATTTTATATATTTAAAAATAAGTATTTTGGCTCTCATTTAGCCCCAGATAAAAAATGGCTGTATACAAGTGTCAATACAGGTTAGTTACAATAGCAGAGCACAAGCTTCACATGCAGAAAATGCCAGCTTCAGCCTCTAGTATCACAGTTAAATAATCAGTGGCAGGTAATTCAAAAGATCTTTGGCTCTAGAGCAACTACCAGTCAGAATACACTGTACTGAGACAGATTGGACAAATAGCCTGAACAGATGATATAAGGCAGCTTCAAAAACTAATATAGATGATACTATATTGCAAAGGAAGGCATTCTCAAAACTTTTTTTCTTCCTAGCATTTTTCTAGCAGCTGCAGGGTCTGCTTTTTTTGGATCAATCGAATGTTGATCCATTGGTTGCAACAGGAACTGACTGACTGGCTTGTCGCCCGAGCCTGATGTTGTGGGCTAAGTGACTGACCCAAAGTCACCCAGCCAGCTTTCATGCCCAAAGCAGGACTAGAACTCATAGTCTCCTGGTTTCTAGCCTAAAGCTGTAACCACTAGAGTAAACTGGCTCTCTGAAGCATTTTCAAATATATGAAATGAATTTCAAACTATTTCCCCCCCCCCCCAATATTTTTACACTTGGGTGTTGTTGTTGTTTTTGGTGCCTTTGAGTCATTCTTGGTAACTGCCTGGACAAGCTCCTGCAGTTTTCTTGGCAAGATTTCGGAAGTGGTTTGCCATTGCCTGCTTCCTAGGGCTTAGAGAGGGGGACTGGCCCAAGGTTACCCAGATGGCTTCATGCCTAAGGCAGGACTAGAACTCACAGTCTCCTGGTTTGTAGCCTGGTGCCTTAACTACTACACCAAACTGGCTCTCTTTAAGGCTTTTTTTTTAAACTTTTTAAAATTAGCTGTACTTATAAATTCAACTAATTATTAATATGCCATCTTAGTTTTACTCATTTTTCATAAGATACTACTCTGAATTTTATTTGAATGGTTATTTGCTATATTGGCCCATTTAAACATCAAGAAAATGTTTTATCCATTTGCCATTTCATTTCTCATCTTTTGTCTGAGAATTCAGTTCAGCACACATGGGTTTCCTAAATTTTATGTTCGATGAAAGATTTGAAGAAGCAGACCATGATTCACAAAATGTTATAGGATAATAAAAGTGTTTAGTTTTTAAGATGCCATATGATTCTTTGTTTCTTTAAACAACAACCCAGGTAGCTTTGGCTGAGCGCTAACAACTGGCCTCAGGTCATCCAGTGAAGTCAATGCCAAGTTAGGATTTGAACCCATACTTAAAATCAAAGTTGGAAAGGGCTATATACTATTTAAATCAACTATATAATACATATTTAAATATTAGTCCTGCTTTTGGGTAGATAGCAAATAACTATTACAACTTTTCTAAATTAATGAATTTTCAGCTGAGTGTCTCTGGAAATCTTCCTCAGAACATAGATGGTTTTTGCAGTGTCACCAGTCCTGCAAAAGATCAACTGCATTTTAAAAAGGTTGGAATTTGTTAAATATTCCCCAGCAGAGACAAGACTGTACAAGCAGAGTTGAAATAAAAAAGAACAACTTAAGAAAAGGGAGGTGTTCTTTAAGCTAGATGGTTATCTAAGTTCTACCTTCTAGGGAAGCTCATTTCCTTGGCTTGCTAAATGGTAGGATTGTTAAATAGCTTTGTTTCAGAGTTTTAATAAACTCTTGGGGTTGGATTATAAGAAAAATAATCATCTTTTTTTTTTAGGCATAGGACTAAGATGTAATATTCTTTATCTTCTGTTAGTGTCAGCGCATACATACATAGTAGGCATTTTGCTTAATTTTGAGTCTCAGTTATAGGTACCTCTAAGTGGCCTATCTTGAATATCAAGACAGAATATCATTTTTTATAACACTTTCTGAGAAGAAATGAACCGATTGTATTAAATGTCTGTAGTATATTTCTGTCTTCATTTTTAGAAATTACTAGTGCAAGGGGCAATTGGGGATGAGAAAAAAACTTCCTATTCTTATACAGGAATAAAGAGCCCAAGGATTTTATTACATTATTAAGACATCTGTTGAGGACTCACTTAAATTAAAAAGCACCTTCAGGCTCTGCTGGGTGATTTTCCTATTTTCTGAATCAGCATAAAATTAAAGAATAAGCAAATTAACACATTATGTAAACTAGGAATCTCTGCTATTGAAACAAACTCTTGTTTATGATTATACTGCCTCTTGAAAATATATTAAAATGTTTAGGTAACAACATTATCTTAGCATTATGAAGAGGCAAGAGGCAATTACAATAACCAAGTCAATCCACTGTTTGGTGCAGGAATCCAAACTAAAGCATGCCTGTCAGATGGCTGTCCAGCCTTTAATTCAATGTATCCAATAAAGGGTGCTCACCATTTCCTCAGTAATTAATCCCATTGTCAAACAGCTCTTATTGTTCAACATTCAACCAGAATCCCTTTCTTAGTTTAAAATCATTATTCTCTGTTTTACATTCTCAGGTAAGAGGGAACAGATCTTGATATTTTTCTCTATGCCATCCTTTTAGGTACTTGAAAATCTTTCCTTAGTCTTTTCTCAAGGCTGAATATACCGTACTTGTTACCTCATTCACTCCTTAGGCTTTGTTTCCAATCACATGATTGTTCTTGTTGCCTTTCTCTGGACAAATTCCAGTTTCTGAATCTTTCTGATTCAGGTAGGATTTCACCAATGCGGAATACTTATTTCCTATGATTTAGAAACTGTGCTTCTATTAATGCTGCCTAAAATTGCATCTGCCATTTTAGGAGCTATGCCACACTGCTCCTCATATAGCCAGTTTGTGATCAAGTATATTTATACAATCCTTTTCACATATATTATAACAAAGCCATTTATTCCCCATTATACCTGTGCATTTTATTTATTTTTCCTCTGAGCTTTACAACTATTACATTTCATTCTGTTATTTTCAGCCTGCTAATCTATCAAAATAGTTTTGAATTTTCTTTCTTCTAGAGTAACACATCTAGTTTTGTGTCATCTACAAATGTGATAAGCATTTCCCTTATCTTTTCATCAGACACTAATAAACATGTTGAAGAATAGAGAGCCCACGACTACATCTTGTGGTACTTTCATTGTAATTTGATAAGGAACCAATGATGTGCACTTTTTGAATAGAATTTTCAAGCCAGCTGTGCTCCACCTGATAAATATGCCATCCAATCTATGTTTAACTGAGTTGCTAATCAAAATGTCATGGGATATTTTGTAAAATGTTTTGCTGGTCAAAATATATTAGATCCACAGAATTCTCAAAAATTATTAAAGAAGTTACCCTATTTAAAAAATCAGATGAAGTTACTCTGGCAAGACTTGTTCTTAACAAATCCATGCTGACTTCTAGCAAGCACTGCATTGTTATCAAGGTGCTTACAGATCGATTGCTTTATCATCTGCTCTAGAATTTCCCAGGTATCAATATCAGATTGACTTGTTTGTAGTCCCATGGGTCTTCTTTTTTCACCCTTTTGAAGATAGGGACAATATTTGCCTTCCTCCAGAGCAATAATATACTAGTTTTATGGACATGCTTATCTCCACTGCATTCATTCCAAGGACAGCACAGACTGAGACATGGAAGAATGAGAACTAAGAGAAAAATAACAAGGTGATAAAATGCCTAGGGAAGTAAACCTATATTACCATGTAAAATACTATATTAAACATTTGCATCCTTTTAACAGGTCTGCTTTTCAAAGTACTAATTATACTTTGGAAGAAATGGTAACCCCCTATAGAAAACAAGCTGAAGACTTAGATCACTTCTGCTCCTAAAGTAAAGAAGAAACCAAGGATGGGCACTGCAAGTTTTGTCAATATACAAACTGATCTTACGCAATTTCTGAAACAGACTTCAGTAGGACTGTAGCTATAAATCATATATTCCTGCAGTAATGTCACTTTAACCAAATCTAATATATTTACCATAATATCCTCTAGACCCATTACTTCCCCTGCTGGTCTGTACAGTATGAAAGTCACATGAAGTTTATCAGGAAAATGACAGAAGCCCTTAGATAAAGCTTTATGTTCTGAAAATTAAAGGATTTCATATATCCATTGCAGATCCATAAAACATAAAAATACAAATGAATAACCATCAGTGAAGAAAGACCACAACTCACTGGACTCAACAGAACTGGAATTTTTTTGTCCAATCTCCAACCTCCCCTTTCTAGGGAAGGTGGTTGGCTTGCAACTTTAGAGGGCCTTAAAGTATATTATCTAGACCTTTTTCATTTGTAATTCAGACTTTATTATTATTAAATTTATTGTATTGTAGCATGGAGACAGCACTGATTGTGCTTCTTGACTTTTGGCAGGCTTGAGATGGGGATAATGTCCTTGATTTCTCAGTGGCTTTTAAAACCATCAGCCATGGAACCTGCTAGACCAGTTTAGTGGATTGGGAGTGGAAGGTCTGATGTTGCAATGAATCTCCTTTCTCCTCCAGGACCAGTTCCAATTTGTGTTAGTAGTGGGGAGAGATCAAGTCCAAGAACTCAGCTTTGTGGGGTTCTTCATA